ATCACCAAATCTCACAAATTCGTGTAATACCCTGCTTGAAATAAACTCATTTTTTTTTTTTTTGAGGTAGGGTCTCACTATGTAGTCCAGGCTGGCCTCAAACTTGCAGAGATCCACCTGCCTCAGCCTTGAGTGCTGAAATCACAAGTATGCGCCACCGCGCCCATAAACTCATTTTCTAATGCAGATAGATGCTGGATATTGGTTGAACATTGCCTTTTCATAGACAATCATGAAATGATAGGGATATGCTCAACCCAGGGGAGGTTACAGGAACCTAGAGGAGGATTAACTGACCAAGTATGAAAGGTTTAAACTAGGATTGGGGAAGACATAATCCCCAAGAGGTATCTTAAAGAAGTAGGAAGTATTAAATTCCTTATTAAGAAGAATTAGAAAGAGATAGATATTCCAGACAGAAGCACTTGGGAGGCTGAGGCAGGAGAATCACCAAGAATTTGAGGCCAGCCTGGACTTCATAGTGAAACTTTGTCTCTAAGAAAAAGAAGGAAGCTGGGCATGGTAGTGCATGCCTGTAATCCCAGCACTTGGGAGGCTGAGGTAGGAGGAACATTGTGAGTTCGAGGCCAGCCTGGGCCACATAAGTGAGTTCAAGGCCAGCCTGAACTGCATAGTGAGACCCTGTCTCAAAAAAGCCCCCCCCCCCAAAAAAAGGAAAAATGTGAACAAAACCAGTGAGCACAGTCAGGTGTGGTTTCACATATCTATACCTCCAGCTCTCAGGAGGCTGAGGCAGAAGGATTGTTGAGAGTTTGAGGTTAGCCTGGGCTATATAGCAAGACCCCGTCTCAAGAAAAAAAAAAGAAAAAATAAAGCAAGGCTGGGCCTGGTGGTGCACACCTGTAATTCCAGCGTTCAGGAGGCTGAGGCAGGAGGATCACTATGAGTTCAAGGCCAGCCTGGACTACACAGTGATACCCTGTCTCCAAAAAGTAAAGAACAAAAAACCCTCCTTGAGAAGTGGGGATCCTCCTTACCAGGGAAGGCGCCACCTTAGAGTTCAGTGAGACTGGGGGGTGGGGGGAAGCCTGTCATTGACTGTTGATGAATGTTTTGAAGATTCTACCACAACCCGCATTGCTGCTCAGAAGATTAATACCTTAGACAGGCAGCTTCCCTCTGAGCTTCAGTGTTTTGTTCTGTTCTTTTAATTTCAGCCAAGTTGTGCTTTCTGTTGCTGGGACAAACGCCTGCAGGAGACAGTTCAAAGGCACAAAGGTTCACGCTGGCCCACCCACCGTGTGGGAGGTTTCAGGCCATGGTCCCTGCCTGTTGTTTCTAGCCCTGTGGAAGGGCAGGGAGGAAGCAGAGAAAGAGGGGGGGGGGGAGGCTGGTGACAAAATACACCCGTCAAAGCCACACCCCCAGCCAGGTGCGGTGATGCCCGCCTATAATCCCAGCACACAGGAGGCTGAGGCAGCAGGATCACTGGGAGTTGCAGGCCAGCCTGAACTACACAGAGAGACCCTATCTCAAATAAACCAACAAACCCAACAACAAAAACAAGAAAGCTGCATCCCCAGTGACCTGCTTCATTCAGTTAGACACCCCCCAATAGCAGTCATGAACGCATCAATTGTCCAGTGAAGTTAGAGCCTTTATAATCCAATCACCTTCCAAAAACCCATCAGATGTCAACCAAGTCTTCAAAACAATGAGCCTCTGGGGACATTTTAGGTCACAACCATAACAGAGGCATAGCTTTTGGAGACTGAACCAGATCCTATCCGAAGTATCTTCCCATTCTTTGGTTAATATCCATCCGTCTGTGAGTAGTGAATTAATGAGGGAGAACGCGTAACTACAGTATGGTCTCTGGGCTGAAACAGAAATTATTAGGAAGTGAATGCTCAAAATTAAGGTAAAATAAAGACCACAAATGGTATACTGTCCAGACGTTATTCAACATGTGTTAAATGTTTTACTTCCTGGGCATGGTGGTGCACGGTAAACCTAGCTCTCAGAAGGCTGAGGCAGGAGAATTACCTGAGTTCAAGGCCAGCCTGGGCTGCAAAGCGAGACTCTATCTCATAAGACAGTAACAAAAAGTTTTATTTTATTATTTTTTAAATTGAATGACATTCCTGTAACATTTACTAATAGTTTATTTTGATCAATATAAATATACTACTATTCAATTAAACTTGTTTACAAAGAAAAATGGAATGTTTTTTGAGTGTTGTTGGGCATTAATATCCAAAGACAAATTCCTAAGCCAGCAGCCCTGTTTCCTAGTGACAGCTCAATAAACCACATTTCTTAGGCTTAAAAATAATTAAATTCCTTGTGGTACTGTTGTTGGATTTCAGGCTAAACACTTTTTGAGGGGACTTATTTTTCCCCCTGTATAAATTCCAGCTCCAATCACTGAGACGCTTAACCCCAGTTGAATTTTTTTCTTTTCTTTTCTTTTTTTTTTGTACTGGGAACTGAACTCACGACCTTGCACTTGCTAGGCAGGCGCTGTGCGGCTGCGCTGTATCTCCGGCCCCACCAGTTAAATTTCTACATTTCCATGGGAGCTAACAGCGTGACTCCTAGTGCTTGAGACTGCTGACTTCTGGCATGATTCATAGTGTCAGGTATGACAGGCTCTTCGCTTGGTCAAGCTTTGTGAGGCCCTGACCCTTCTCGGCCTGTGTACTGCCCTTTAGAATCCCGTTTTGCTAAAGAACGCTGCTCAGAGGGTTTAGCAAGAACTCCCTGCCCTTGATACCTGATCGGGTTGTTCCTCCTCCACCCCAGGTGAAGTCTGCTCACCTGGCCTGACCACAGCAAGAATCCGGCTGGGTCGGTTCAGCCAGAACCCTCTGCACCCGAGGCTGCCTCTTGAAGGGCTGTCATCCCTCACCCTCTTTGTACATTCTGTGCTGCTGTAACAGAATGCTCCAGACGGGTACTTTATAAACCACAGAGCTCTCCTACAGTCTTCATCCCAGGGCGGAGGCAGAAGCAGTACAGTACGCGCAGGACAGAGGAAGGGGGCCCAGAACCCATTCCTGTTACTTCTACCCCACTCCTGGAAGAGGCACCAATCTGCTCACCAGGGCAGAGCCTGGTGACCTAGTCTCCTCTTAGGGGTCCCACCGCCTAACACAGCCATCCTGGGCATGAAGTTTGCGACACATGAACTTCAGCGAGACCCCGAAACCACAGCAGACCCCAGCCCTCGTGGCTGCGACTGCCACCTCCACACGCCTGACCTGGAGCTCAGGCCCGTCCCTCTCCCGGCAAGAGTCCGCGGCACCGGTCTCCATCTATAGCTGTCATCCGGTCCGGGAAAACGCAGCCGTCATCACTGAGTATTTTCTTTGGAAGCAGGACGTCTCAGTTACTTTCCTGCCCCTTAGACACAATCCCCAACAGACACGAGGTAGAAGGGGGGATGTTTACTTGGCTCGGTCTGTCCAGGCCGCTGGCTGGAGGCGGGGCTTGGGAAGCAGAGGGGTCAGCGAGGAGGAGGAGGAAGAGGAGGAGGAGGACCGCCCCGGGACCTCGCCTCCCGTCACACTCCGCGGTGGGCTCACCGGAGGGCTCAGCCAGAGATGAGGGCCACACGCCAGCGAGCCAGGCGCCTCCGCAGCCCTCCTGAGTGTGTGAGGCTTTGGGGGCATCTAGATACTCTAAACCACAACACAGGTGCTATCCAGGTAAACAGATGACTTTCTAATGTAAACAAATTTTGAGACAAAATTTTTCTTCTTTCATATGTGTATACAGACAAATAGCAAAACAGATGGATGTATACTTCAAGACTGAAAGCCATTCTGAGACCTTTCTATTTGGTTTTTTTTTTGAACTGGGAATCAAACTCAGGACCTTGTCTTTCCTTCCTGTTTATTAGCGGACTGTAACTGCTGTTTTTTTTCTTTTGCAGAAGTAGGGCTGGAACCCAGCCGGGCCTCACGCGCCATAGCCACGAGGCCCAGAAGAGCTGTGGCGTTTAACGTCTTCATATGTCTACTGTGGGTCACATAAAGAATTTTTAAAATACAACATTACTAGCACACACCTGTAGTACCAGCACTCTGGGAGCCTAAGGCAGGACGACTGCAAGTTGGAGCCCAGCCTGGGCAACTTAAGGATTTAGTGAGACCCTGACTCACAACAAAAATTTTTTAGAAGGCCTGGACATGAAACTCAGTATGAGGGTACAAGGTTCAATCTCTCATACTATAAACAAACAAATAAATTAAGTGGTAATTTCTGCCAAGACAGTAGTGCCCAGAAACCTCAGTGAACTGGCTTTAGTCTCCACTCTTTCAAACTTACTCTAAGGAAAAAGTAAACATTATATGTATACATGGCATATTAGTTTTTTCAACTTAATTGGAAATTAATAAGAATGACACCTGTTTGCTTTTTGGTTTTTTTTTTGAGATAAGTCTCACTAGGTAGCCCAGGCTGGCCTCAAACTTGCAGCAATCCTCCTGCCTTAGCCACCATGCTGGGATTACAGGCATGTACCACCATGCCTGGCAAGAATGACACCTTTTAAATAAAATACTCAGTTCTAAGAGACAGAAAAATCCATATACACCTATGAACACTTTGACCAACTATTAGTCAAAGTGTCAAAACTACCTTCTATAGGTAACTGACCAGTGGGACAGTTAAATTTGTATCTTCAGGTATGAAGAATTAAACTAGCGCTGGGAAGATAGCTCGGCAGCACAAGCGCCTGCCTGGCAAGTGCAAGATCCTCAATTCAATTCCTGATAAAAAAAAAAAAAAAAAAAAACAGAATTAAACTTTTCATTTTCACCTTCTAATGAAAAATAACCTACTCTCAAAAATAGCATAGTCAGTGTTACAGCAGTACAGCTCCTAAATGAAAATACAGGCTGAGTTACGCTTACTGGAATAACCGTCCTAAGAAGCCTTCGACACATCAGCTATGCATTTACGTGAGTTCATGACTTAACCTTAGACTGGAAGGTCCTTAATCCTCTTTAAAAGAAATGCTGAAATTAAACTTGTCAAGACAACAGTCAAGACCTGCATTCAGGAAAGTCCCTTAAATATCAAATTTCTCTTCGCAGACACTGTGTCCGTTTTCTTCATAGTCCTCTCTTGTGACCACCATATCTTCAAAATCATCGTTCTCTGATATCAATTTTCCACCTTCCCAGGCATAAGTAATAGGGCTAAAAAGAAAGGTAAAACAAATGAACTGAAACGATTTTACAGAAATTGTCCATGGATAATTTATAGAAATGAATAACCAAAGTGCCTGAAACAGTAATTATTGACTAAAACACTGGGAGTGCTACCCAACTTCAAGAAAAATCATTTAAGATATAGAAATGCTGTAAAATATTTTTTTCTTCTAGGCCTTCAACGTATATACTCTCTACTTCCAAAGAAAAAACAAAAAAACAAGGAAAAGATCAAAAGACGTCTAGCAGGAAAAACAATGTTGTAAGTCTAAATTCCATTTATGGCAAAGATATATCATCTGATTAATTCCCACAGCAACTCAAAGTACAGCTGCTGATCCTCCCTTTTAAAAATTCCCACTTTGGGCCGGGGAAACAGCTCAGCGGCACTAGGTTGTGAGTTCAATTCCCAGTACCAAAAAAAAAAATCCACTTACCATTTTATAGATATAAAAAAAGAAGTTTAGGGAGGTTAAACTGGGAACTACAAATTAGTCTGGACTAGGATTTTTTTTTTTTTTTTCTTTTTTTTTGTCTTTTTGAGACTGGGTCTCACTATGCAGTTCAGGCTGGCCTTGAATTCACTTTGTAGCCCAGGCCAGCCTAGAACTCACAGTGACCCTCCTGCTTTAGCCTCTCCAGTGCTGGGCCTGCAGGAGTGCTGGGCCTGCAGGTGTGCACCACCATGTGGACTAAGATTTAAATTAGAAGTGTTTGCAGTACATGCTTTTGCTGCTACACTTTGTTGCCTTTTCTTTTCTTTTTTTTTTTTTTTTTTTTGTCTTTTTGAGGCAGGGTCTCACTATGCAGTTCAAGCTGGCCTTGAATTAACTTTGTAGCTCAGGTTAGCCTCCAACTCCCAGTGATTCTCCTGCCTCAGTCTCCTGAGTGCTGGGATTACAGGTGTGCAACACCACACCCAGCCACTTTGTTGCTTTTAATAAATGAAACATTCAACCCAGGCCTGCTGGGAGCTTTTTCTTTTTTTACACTTATTGAAACAAGGTCTCACTGAATTGGTAAATTGCTGCCTAGGCTCGGCTCAAACTTTTCCATTCTCCTGCCTCAGCCTCCCAGAGTGCTATCAACATCTAGCTAAAAATTTAAAATTTTGTGAGGCAGGGTCTTACTATGTAGTTCAGGCTGACCTCGAAATCTCAGTGATCCTCTTGCCTCAGCCTCCTAAGTGCTGGGGTTATAGGTGCCTCCATGTCTGGCTTTTTAATTAAAAAAAATTTTAAAACAATTTATGGATTGGCATAATTTCTCGTAATACTTTAACTTCTAAATTTCTATTTTTTGATAGAAACTCAAGAAATGATACATCTCAGATAAATCAAATACATAAAAACTTGATTTTTTTCCCTATCAAAGTCTTTTAGGAACAAAGACTAACATAATAGGGCTCTAACTTTTTTTGTGTCTTTTTGAGACAGGGTTTCACTATGCAGTTCAGGCTGGCCTTGAATTAACTTTGTAGCCCAAGCTGGCCTAGAACTCACAGCGATCCTCCTGCCTCGGCCTCCTGGGTACTGGGATTATAGGTATGTGCCACCACATCCAGCCTGGATCTACCTCTTCAATTTAGTTTAGTTTTCCTTGATACTGGGATTGCACCAAAGGCCTTCATACTGAACCTTACCCTCAGCCCCTTTGAAACATTTTGAGACCAGGTCTCCTGCTGAATCATCAAGTTGTCCACACTGGGCTCACACTTGTGATCCTCCTGCCTCGGCCTCCCAGGGGGAAGGGATCTTAAACGAACACTCATTATGCAACAAGTGTTATTGCTGGAGCTTTGCACTTCATCCCATTAACTCACAGACACGTGAAGTTTATCATTTCAATTTTTGAGAAAGGAAAATGAGAACTCAGTAGGTGAAATACACCTGCTGACACGGAGAAGCAGCGCGAAGCTCAGGCCTTCATTCAGCCCGCCTTCTCCCCGACACCCGCACCTCCCGTCTGTGTGAGCGGCACTTACTTCTCGGGCAGCACCACGGAAACGTCATAATCTGTTGGAGTCAGACATCGAACTTCTGAGTAGACCCGATCTCTAAACCCTGGGAAAAGGGAGTTTCCGCCCGTCAAAACGATGTTCTTGAAAAAATGTGGCTGCATTTCTTTAAAAGAAAACAGAAGGGAAAAAGCGTGAGGAAATCTGCTTCCTCATCTTTGTGGAAAGGCACAGATGGGGGCGTAGTAAGACGAGATTGTGGATCACAGTTCCCACTTGAGAAAGCATAAACTGTTTTAGGTCCATCCTAAAATGTGTACTGAGGTTACACTTTGCACAAGTGGACATTAAACTGTGAAACATGACCCAGCAGATCGTTAAAAAACGAAGGCAAGGGTGGATGGACTACTACTTACACACACACACAGACGGTTAACATTCTACAGCAGACATTTGCTCCTTCTAATCCTTCCTCCCCAAAATGGAGACGGTCTGCTGTCGGCTGAGATTACAAGCTACTATAAGAATGAAAAGGTCTTTCTTATTTTTTAACTTGCAGGCCCAAATTTCCACCTTATCTAAGACAGATACATTCATTGTTCAGTACTTAGCTTTGAGAGGGAAATAAAAACACACAATCAAGAAATTATGCAAAGAGGGGCTGGGGATTTAGCTTAGTGGCAAAGCACCTGCCTGGCAAGCGCAAGGTCGTGAGTTCGGTTCCTGGTACCGGAGAAAAACCAAAAAACAAAAACAAAAACAAAAAAAACAAAAAAAAAAACCAAAAAGAAATTATGTAAAGAATAAGTCAAGCTGGGCGTGGTAGTGCATGCCTGTAATCCCAGCACTTAAGAGGCTGAGGCAGGAAGATCGCCACGAGTTGGAGGCCAGCCTGGGCTACATAGTGAGTTCAAGACCAGCATGAACTACATAGCGAGACTCTGTCTTAAAAACCAACCAAACAAACAAACAAAAACAACAACAAAAAAGGAAAGAATCAAAGTGTAAATATTCATTAAATTATATGACGGCCAACACAGCCAACATAAAGTGCCACCAGCTTAGCAAGTAAAAGCCCCATTGGGAAATCCCGGAGGAGGAACGGGTGCCGGCCACCCCGCCCAGTGCTGCTGTCCACCAAAGCACCGAAGCGTTATGACACGGTACGAAAGCGGTACAGAATAAAATGTTGTGCATGTTGTGATCGCAACTTTATATAAAATGTGAAATTAGTCTTGGGGATAGCTGGGAAATAATTGTTAAAATGAGAACATTTGTGTGACTTTCTTTAACGAGAGGAAAACACACTGTATGCGCACGTGCTAGGTTTTCTTCAGTGCCTGCACTGTTCCTGAGGAAGCAGGAAGACAAGATGTAAAAGCACCAGAAAATTTAGGACGTTTACGTAAATCACGCCTCAGGAGACATCACCGTGAAGCACCACACCCCGGTCTCATTAAAGCCCCTGTATGTTAGTTCAAATGCGTAACACAGAGTAAGCCAGTCCCAACAATACCTGAAGACCATCAAGTTATCCATCTCTGAGCTGTGCAGTTTTTGGTCCAAAAAATTTTTTTTTGTTTTTTGAGACAGGGTCTCATTATATAGTTCAGGTTGGCCTTGAACTCACATAGTCCAGGCTGTCCTCCTGCCTCAGCCCCCTGAGTACTGGGATTGTAGCTGTGTGCCACCATGCCCAGCTTGGTTAAAACTTGAGTCTGAGGCCAGCCTGAACTACATTGCAAGATCCTGTCTTTAAAAAAAAACAACACTTTTCTAAGATGAATACAGTAACTGAATACTTGTGGGAAAATAAATTTCTTAATGTTTAAACAGTCTATAATACTTCACTAAATAGAATTCATCATCCAAGACCAATCAATAAGAATTATTCAAGGGCATTATGAGAAGTAGAGGTGCCATTTGCCTGAAATTATTTAGAAGAAACACTGTTCCTTGAACTCGTGATTTTTGAAAAATATCATTATTCTTCAACACTGTACCATGGTAACTGATGTACCACTGCTGTACCTTCAGGTAAGTTCTGAATGGAATAGACAATGGCTTCTGGAATCCCCATCTCTTGAATGCCTATGTCGGACGGATTGAAGAGTATTTCCGGAACAGCGAATCTCTCATTGGCCAAACGCAGAATTTGTTCCCCAGACTTGTATTTTCCACTCAGGACCATTTCTTCCCTTGGCTTAAAGACAAATAAGAAAGTTAAGCTACGTTATCTACTTCACATGACTAATCACCATCAGAAGATGTACTGTTACCATCTTGACCATGTTCTTGGAAAGATCTGGGTTCTCAAAAGTTAGAAAAATATGGCTTTCCCTGGTGTTGTTAGAACCACACACGCAAAAATATTACTGACTGTAACTGCATTCCCTGCAAAATAACCTGGTAGCTTTACTGTAGGCATTTTTTTAAAAAAGAGAAGTGCATAGGAATGGAACTTCACAACACATCTCTAAGGACATCCTGATTCGAATTTCTAGAGAACGAAAAACATGGTCTCACTAAAAAAACTTACTATATCTTGTATTCCTAACACTATTTCCTTTCATTCCTGACTGTAAATGTTTATTGGACATGTAGCATCATTTTATTAGGATTTCTTCTTTTCCTTGTGCAAAAGGCCTTACCTCTTAGCTGGACTTGGTAACCCACATCTGTAATCCCAGCACCCTGGGAAGCTGAGGCAGGAAGATCTCAAATTTTAGCCTGGGCAATTTAATGATTCAGTGAGAGCCCACGGGGCTGAGGATACAGTTCGGTGTGAAGGCCCTGGGTTTAACCCCGAGTACAGGGGAATCAGTTTTCAAATGACTTAAGCAAATACACCATCTTTGACCCTGAAGTTACTGTATGATGTCAATTCTATATAAAGGCTCAGTATGGCAAATACAAAGTTGAACCAAAGCTGATTCATGTTCTCGTTATTTACTTTCCGCTAACCGGCCCATCTATGAGCTGTGTTCCTCAAGGGGCCAGAAAAAAAAAGTAAGTAAAAAAGCTCCTTCCACAATATTCTACACCACAGCACTGTCCCTTTCAACTTTACAAGCAACCTCCAGCTCTTCTGGCTTTGGGCTATGGTCATTTCATCTCTCTTACAGATGCAGTTTTCCTCCCAAACAGAAGATACCCTGTCCCTTCTATAAATATAAAGATACTCAGGCATCTCATTTCTGAGTGCTCACACTCTGCTCTTGAATGAGCCCTAAAATCCCTAGTAAGCCCTTCTGCCTCTGACAGGCCCTGAAATCCTTTTCCCATACTGGGAGTCAGAAGGTGGGTTACGTGCCTTATTTCAGCTTTGGGGACCATTTAGGTCAGACCCAGTATGGGGACAAATCCAAACACGGGGATTCATTACACCTCTCTCTTTGCTCTTGCTTGTCTTTCAAATTTCCCACGATGGAATGAAGGTTAAATAAAAATATTTGACCTGAGCTCCAAGAAAAGCATAAAAATACTTAAGATGTATCAATTACTAAAGAGTAATATATGTAAAAAACTATTGGTTCCTTACTATAACCAGTTATCTATTTTGATTTCAGCTTCCTCACAGAGGCGTTTTTCTGACTTCCAAGTGAAGGGACCCTCTACTGTTCTCTACCATCACCCTATACTGTCACCGTCACACACCTACTACCTGGCACAGCACAGTACCCGGGTGTAGGAGATACTCAATAAATTCTTTTTTTCCTTTGAGACAGGGTCTTGCAAAGTATCTGGGGCTGGCCCTGAACTCACTATGTAGCCCAGCCTCGCCTTGAGCTCCAAGTGATCTGCCCCAGCCCCCCGGGTTGTGCCACCACCAGCAGCACTGGATAAATTCTTCAGTAATGGCATGCACCCCTGCAATGTGCTGTTCACCGCTAGGCATTTCCCGTCCAGCTGCTCAGTGAACTCGCATGTACCCTGTGAGGCAGGCATTTCATTTTTGCTTTATGTGCACTTAGTTTTTCTGAGGCAAGGTCTTGCTACATAGTCCAGGCTGATCTTGAACTCGCTAAGTAGCCCGGGCTGGCCTCAATCTTCTGGTCCTGAGCCAGGTGCCCTGAGTGCTGGGATGCAGCTGTGTGACCCTGCTCCCAGCCTCTCCTTTCCAGCTGTGCCCAGTAAGGTGAAGGGACTTGCTCAAGATCCTCTTACGATAACCCAGAGCACACGCAGAACATTCCTTCCATATGCTGCCACTCTTAAGCTGGTTGTGAATGATCTACATTTCTATCACTTGAAAATTCCATGCTCAAAATACTATTTTTAAATAAAAATTTCCTGGAAGTTACACAACATTCTAAGAATGAGGAAAACTATAAATCACTGGGTTTTGTTGTTTTGATCTTTTTGAGACAGGGTCTTGCTCTGCAGTTCAAACTAGTCTTAAACTAACTTTGCAGCCCAGGCTAGCCTCGAAATTGGTGCGATCCTCCTGTCTCAGCCTCTGGAGTGCTGGGATTACAGGTGTGCGCCACGACACGCGGCTATAAATCACTTTTAACCCAATTAAACGATTGGTGTAGTAACAAAAAGTTTATCATTCCACATAGGAATATTCTTTCTTCTTTAGCAGAATGGAAGATAGTCTTTATAAATGTACAAGTTCATTTAAAACTGAGATTGATTTGAATTTAAGGGATATAACTCACTTTGTTAATACCCAACCTGAAATTGATGCAGGCTTGGGGACTTTCAGTTGACAAAACATTGGAGGTATTCTAGTTTATGGCTCTGATTTTCACACAAGGATCATGTGACTGATCAAGTATCTAAAAAGCCGGTACCAGATGCCCTTATTAAATGTCAGCACTAAAGCCGTTAATTGTTAATATATAATCTGGTGCAAGTAGTTTTTGTTTCTGAAAGTCTAATTCCAAAGAGACTTTTTTAGACAGAGGTGAATGAAGGAATTTGCAAGGGCTTCTGGGAGTTATTTTAGTCAAGGTAGGCCATGATGACTGCACAGCCTCAGAGCTCATCTCTGGGACCACCGGTTTATGTAGTAATGGTTCTACAAAGAGCAGTCATTATTAACAAGGAGGGTGGTTTTCCCAACTTAGGTCAGAGAGATGGATCATATACTATTAGACATCCTCTTTCTGATGAGACATAAAACTGGAACTTCTATCAGTTGTAAACAGTAATGATACTGAGACATCATTTCTATTATTATTATTATTACTATTATCATCAGCACTAGAAAATCAAGGTTGCAACTTTCCCATTAAGTTTTCCACAAGGGAAACTTTTTTTCCCTTAAACAGCATCTCACTATGTAGTTCAGGCTGACTCCAAACTCACTATACAGACCAGGCTGGTCTCACATTCGTGATTCTTTTGCTTCCGCCTCCTGAGTGCTAGGATCATAGGTGCGTGCCACTGTTTAGTTTTTCTTGAGACAGTGTCTCACTATGTAATTCAGGTTGACTTTGGACTCACCGTGTAGCCCAGACTGGCCTTGAACTTGTGGTGAGCCTCCTGCCTCAGCCTCGTGAGGGCTGGAATTAAAGGTCCACACCTAGCTTATTTTTAATGCCCCCTCAGGATTCCAATAACGAGTAAGGTTTGAGGAGACTGCAAATCATGAGACATTACTCAAGATCCACTCCTGTGGAAATGCAGATTACCATTGCTAATTTAGAGTGCATTAATTCCCCACAAGGTGTCTTTTTTATCACTGGAGTGCTTTCTAATTTTGATTTTGTGAGTATGGGGCAGCCGACCTAAGGCCCCACAATGAGCTACATTCCTAGCCCTTTTTATTTTATTTTAGGACAGAGTTTTGCTAAATTCCCAAGGCTGGCCTCAAACTTGCAATCCTGCCTTAGCCTTCTGAGTAACTGGGATTACAGGAGCGTGTCGGTATCTCCTGGCTACCGGACTGTTTGAATCAGCTATAAAATAGGAAGATGATCAAATGTGTCTAATGAAATAAAGAGTTGGTGCCTAAACGTTTGGGACTGTTTTCCTTGCTGAATTATGACTGATATTTCATCTCTATAACCTGCCAAAGTAAATAATTACCTAAACCATGTATGCATCAATCAGCTTAATGCAACTTTACAAACAAGTTAACATTCATTTTTTAAAATTTGGTGTTCATCATTCACAGACATGGTTTAGACTTCTTTTATACTTTTTAGTTATCCTTCCTATTTATGTACTCCTGGACAACATAGTTATTCTGTACAGACCTGAAAGCGTACACACCTCTCTAAAACTTGCTACTATGTAGAGTTTATCCACGATCATTTTCATTAGTTTGTTTTATAGTATGGATATATAAAAATCATTTATTCTCCTCCTGTGAGGGGAGGCTGATCCCAATTTTTCAGTATTCTATAATGAATATCATAAATGTCTACTTACATTTCTGACTAAGGATTTTTAACTTGCAATCTTTAGTAAGCCAGTAACTAGCAGGGCAAACTTCACATTTACCCTTCGAACAGTCTTTATCTCAGCTGATGAAAGGTAAGAAATTATTTTGACACCCGAGATAAGGGGTTTCTCAACACGTTGAAGGTGCACTGGAATTTGCCCTTTTCCCTTTTCTCCCTTTTTCGGTGGTACTGGGAATGAAAGTGGGGCCTCGCGCATGGCAGGAAGCACTCTGCTGCTGAGGGACATCCCTGGTCCACACCCGGCCCTTCCGACTACCGTCTGACCTACGGCATCAAACTCGAGTACAATTCAGTCTGGGGTCAGCTGTGTTAGCAATTTTTACAACAGCAAAATAACCAGTTTCTAGTTAGATTTAGGCTAATTCTTAAGTAAACTGAAAGTTAATTACAATGTAGGTAATGATTTTGTTTATTTCTAATATCTTTCCCATGTGTTATCACAAGGCTTACAGACTTTTCTGAATAATTTAGTGAAAAACTTACCAATAAAATTTAGTAAATTTATTAGTAAATAAAAATTTACTAATAAACTTCCACCTGGAGAAATGGTCACCTGGAAAGCAGTCACGAACAACTTTAAGACCCTGTAAATTCCAACTGGACAGGAGATGCTTTTCAAATCTGACTGAGGTGGTCATTTGACGAAATATCATTGAGGGCTTTTTTTTTTTTTTTTTTTTGTCTTTTTGAGACAGAGTCTCGCTATGCAGTTCAGCCTGGCCTTGAGCTCACTTTGTAGCCCAGGCGGGTCTCTAACTCGCAATGATCCTCCCGCGTCAGCCTCCCAAGTGCTGGGATTATAGGCATGCGCCACTGCGCCTGGCTTGAGGGTTTTTTCTTTGCTTTTGGCATTACTGGGGATTGAACCTAGGATTTTTGCACTGAACTGCACCCCAGCGCTTTTTATATTTTTTATTTTGAGACAGGGTCATGGTAAATTGCCCAGGCTGGGCTTAAACTTGGAATCCTCCTGCTTTAGCCTTGCAGAGTGCTAGGACTACAGGTATGCACCACCATATCCAGCAAGGATTTTTCAAATTACCTTACAAAAGCCCTTCTTAATTGTGCTAAAGTCAGGCAAAACATAGTCTACCATGACTGTATTGTCTTCTCCTTTCAACCTGTAAGACAAAACCAGAGATTTATGAAGTACTTTAATTAAGGGAAGCACCATCCAAAAATCAACTTTCCAATTCTTAGTTTACACTTATACAGGCCAGGGATGTAGCTCAGCGGCACAGCGCCTGCCTGGCAAGCGTGAGTTCGATTCCCACCACCAAAAAACAAAACAAAACAAAACAAAACAAAACAAAAAACACCTTATACATACTTTGCAATATCCATGTCTCTGTAAAAATCCTGAGACACATAGCATACATCTTCTTTCACTTGATTAATGACATGTGTTTCATCCATAACATGCAGCTGCCTAGCAGAAATACACATCACAAAATGTGAAGTGGAAAAAAATAACATAATTAATATTTCAATTTTTTTTCTGGAATTAAATTTTCAGGTAACTGATTTTTTTCAAGCATTTGGGATTTATTTTATTTATTTTTTTGAGACTGGGTCTCGCTCTGTAGTTCGGGCTGGCCTTTAACTTGTGGCAATCCTCTTGCCTCAGCCTCCCGAGTGCTAGGATTACAGGTGCGCACCTTGAAGTCTGGTTTCACACACTCCTGATAGGATAAAGACAACAGCCGTGTATGTTGCACTTTGGCTCTAGACTGTCCCCCCAAAACCCCATGCGTTAAAGAACAGTCCTCAGTTCTTTGCTCCTGGGCCGTGGTGGGGCCTCTCGGTGGGAGGGACTCAGGTCACTAGGGGTGTGGTGGGAAGGGGACCTGGGGGGGCCAGCTGCTCGCTCTCTGTCCTCTCTGCTTCCCAGCTGCAGGAGGCACCAGGGTTCCTCTCAGGGTCCCATGGTGATGTGCTGTGCTGCCGCTGCCTGGAGCAGCAGGGCCCAGGACCACAGCTGAAACCTGGATCACAGCCCAAGTCAGCCTCTCCCTTTGGTACGTTAACTGGGTCAGGGGTTTGGCTACACTGACACACGCCAACCTTTAGGACGCCAACCTCTAGCACGAGGGAGGGCTTCAACTTGCTTATCAGGTTTCTGTTTACCGTAGTTTTGTTTACAAGGGCTTTTGACAGTACAGAGTTTTTAAAACTCTTTTCGGAGTGGGCAGTACTAGGAACTGAACCCAGGACCTTCCCACTTTACTACATCCCCCACCTCTACCATCCAAAGTTAGTATTTCAAGAAATTGAGATTTAAGAATGACATTTAAAGCCCAGTCTGGTGGCAAAGAGGTTAGAAACAAACACAGAATAATTTAAATATTGTACTTTGTGCAGTGTTCTGACTGGAGAGGAGATTTGTTTTCCTTTTTAGACCCTTTTGTTTTATATGGATTTTTTAAAAATTTTATTTTGAAGAGAAAAAAGTAAAACAAAATTTCAAAGAAAGATAATAGGAGAGTAACCACGGTTAAGACAGTGCGCATTATTTTTATATATGCATTTTTGTTACCCTACTCAATTGCAAGTAGCTTTGCAATTGTAATATCGATAGTAATGATGTTTTTGAGTTATAATAAAGAATTGCTGTTTGTAGTTACAACTAAAGTGCAAAGAACTTTAATTTCTTTATAAAGTTCAGTCCTAGCACCTCATCCTCCCAGACTCAAGAGCAAGTGTTACCTGTAGGAGATGATCTCCTTCAGATGGTTGGTTAAGAGTTTTCCTCCCACATTTATCCTAAAAGAGGAGAATTCAATTTTGGTTCAGTTATCACACACTTCACCCTAAGAAACAACATGCAAATAACATGAAATAAGAAAAGAAAACTAAATGCAACTCACCGAATAATTGCTTCTTTTTTCTTTTTACTTCTACAATAAGGAACTATATGTGTAAAAGAATATCCACTGTCTACGATAATACAGCACAATTCAGAAGGATTATCTCGGAAATACCTATGGGCACTGAGCGCCCCGGCTATCAAGAAAAAGAGAGAGAATATTTTATTAGACTTTCTTTTTTTTTTTTTTTTTTTTTTTTTTTTTTTTTGGTCTTTTTGACTTTTTGAGACAGGCTCTCACTATGCAGTTCAGGCTGGCCTTGAACTCACTTTGTAGCCCAGGCTGATCTCAAATTTGCAATGATCCTCCTGCCTCAGCCTCCTGAGTGCTGGGATTACAGGAGTGCACCACCACACTCGGCGAGAGAGAATATTTTAAATAAATAGTAAGTATTCCACTTACAGCAATAAAGAAAACTAAGGCTAACAGGAAGTTCTCATTAATTGTAAGAAAAATGTTAAATGATAATTTCATTAACTGTCACAAGATCTTTAAAATGTTTAAACTTCTAAAATTCACACCTATGTGGTAAATATAAAAAGAAAAACTCATGATCAGTTGTTTTGTTTTCCCAATACTGGGGACTGAGAACAAGGCTTTCACAAAGTCACATTCTTGACCTTTTCTAAATTTTTATTTGAGACAGGTTCTTCCTAAGTTGCCCAGGATGGGCTCAAACTTGTGATCTTCCTGCCTCAGCCTCACAGGGTGCTGGGATGTGATCAGCTTTAAAGGGCTATTTCATGGCTCATAACAATTACAGCAGCAGGTAATTTCCCTGAGCATTTACATGTCAGGCTCTATTCTAAACTCTATAGAAGGAGTGTATGTAGTACAGTGTGAACTTTCACATTCACAGCAATCCCATTTTACAGATGGGGACCTCGGACTCTAAGGCACAGCAAAGGGAAACCATGTGCCCCAGCCACACAATTAGGAAGTGGCAGAACCAGGATTTAAGCAGGCAGTGTGACTTCATTTTTTTTTTTTTTTGGTACCGGGAATCAAACTCAGGACCTTGCACTTGCCAGGCAGGCACTTGTGCCACTGAGCTATATCCCTGGCCCTAAATGCACTTTTTTTTTTTTTTTTTGGTCTTTTTGTTTTGGTACCAGGAATCGAACTCAGGACCTTGCCATTGCCAGGCAGGCACTTATGCCATTGAGCTATATCCCCAGCCAGGCAGTGTGACTTCAAAGCAGGGCCTCTCTACCTGGGGGCCGCTGACATTTTGGGTAACTCCTTTTGAGGGGCTTTCATGTGGATTAGATGCTTAGCAACACTGGTCACCTGCACCTACTAAATGTCAGTAGCACTCTCCTAGTGTAACAACTACAGATGTCTCCAGAGTCGCCAGTATCCCCAGGGAGGAAGATCACCTCTGGCTTAGGACACTCCTGAAGATTATGCTCTTAACCACTGCAGTATATTGTTTCTTATACAGGCATAAGTCCTGCAAGCAAACTATTGAAATACTTTCATTGGACACACTCGGGTAATGCAATCCTAGCTTTTAACAATCTTGTTTCCAGATATTTTCTGATTGTTTTCCTTCATTTTGGCAACCAAAGCTATTCATATTATTTATTTCTTTATTGATATTATTTACAACATTAATAATAATGGCAAACCTAAGCCAGGTATGGTGGCACAGGCCTGTAATCCCAGTACTTGAGAGGCTAAGGCAGGAAGATCACAAGTTCAAGGTCAGCCTGGGCTACACACTGAGCTCAAGGCCACTTGAACTACACAGTGAGATCCTGTCTCAAAAACAACAAAATAAACACACAATAGCAAACACATGAATAACAGAAAAGATAACTAGCTCACGCTAATCTTTCAGATAGTATTATAAATATATGTCTAATAACTTTATTTAGGAGAAATATATTAATAAAAAGAGAGGTTGGCTTTGCAATTTCTAAAGGCCCACTTAGTTTTAAAATTCTATGTTTTATCTCCTTTAGACCTAAAGAATTCCACCTAGCATTCAGAATTTTAAGTTTCTTTACTACATTCATAACGATATAATACAATTTCAATGGAAACATTAACTTACCATTTACTCTTAATACTGCTTGGAACTGGTATTCTTCAAATAGAATTTCATTCATTGATTCTTGAATTGAAGTGAAGTTAAAATACGGTTCTGTGATAATAATATTAGTATCTAAAAAATCAACCTGAGGAAAAAATCCCCAAAAGTTTCATGATTTTAGTGACTGTCATCAACACTTGTTTTATGCCAATTTACACAAAATTATTTAATCTTCACAATAACCCTAATGATTGCATCCCCATTTAATGGATAAGCAAACTGAGGCAGAGAACAACTGAATAAGCTGCTAAGGGGCAAAGCTAGGACTTGAACCCAGGGAGTCTAAACACAGAATCCATGTACTGCTGGGCACAGTGGTACACACCTGTGATCTCAGCTATTCGGGCAGCTTAGGAGGGTGGAAGAGTTTGAGGGCAGCCTGAGCAGCTGAGCAAGACTAGGCCTTCAAAAGAAAAAGACACAAAGGCTGGAAGGAGCTCAGGGGCCCCTACATTCAGTCCCTATCTCCTCACACACAGGAAACCAAACCAAACACCCACTGACAAACAACCAAACACCCCAGAATGTGGCACTGCACTATATGCAATCCTGGCAGCATTAATAACATGTAACTGCCAACTTGTTAAAGATGTTCATGCAAAAGTAACAAATGATTTCAGCGGAGCCACTCTTATTTTATTTTTAGTAGAAAAATGGCTAGAAGCTTCCAGATAGGTTTTCTGGAGGATTTTTATACACAGAAAACGCAAGAACATACACTTAACCAATGCAGTGGTGCGTGCCTTGTCCCCTGCCTTCTCCCGAGCGGCAGTGCAAGCCACAGAGGCGAGGCACCACGCGGCCTCCACAGGGTGGTGGCTCGTATCATTTGTCTTCACAACTGGTCCTGGCGGCTTCCGCCAGCTGAGCCACCCCCCATCGTCTGCCTGCACTTCTGTGAAGGTGCTGCGGGTGCAGGTCTGCTGGGAGCTAACCTCCCACTTTAACCTTCCCTCACGGTGCAGGAGCGGGTCCCCGCCTTCCGACACGCAGCTGCTCGGAAGACCATGAGCGCGACAGGACTCAGGCCCTGTGCAATCACTACCAGCTGAGCCTGCTCGCTCTCCTCCAAGGTGGTGCTGCCACTAACCCCTGCTCAAGGGACAAGCGGTCTCCTGAGGGGGTACATGCCATTGGCCATACGTTTTTCCCTGGCCCCAGCCAACAGTCAGCTGCTTCTTCCTTCATTTTTTTTTTTGGTGCCGGGAATCAAACTCAGGACCTTGTGCTTGCCAGGCAGGCGCTGCGCTGCTGAGCTAGTTCCCCTTCCTTCCTGTCTGGGACAGGTTCTCACTATGCAGTTCAGGCTGGCCTTGAACTCTCAGGAGTCCTACTGCCTGAGTGTCCTGAGTGCTAGGGTCACAGGAGTGCGCCACTCTGCCTGGCTCTTCTTTGTTTCTGACCTGTGCTTGTAAATCATCTTCTGCAGTCAAGTAGCAGTCCAAGGCCTGGGGGAACAGGTGATTGCCTGAGGCATTTCTAGCTCACAGAGGACAGCCTTTTGCCACTGCGGAGATACAGTACGGCCAACTGACAAAGCAGATAAAGCTCCTTTAGTGCTGGATGGCCTGCTGAATGCCAAAATTATTAGGCCTTGCCATGGGTGCTGGTGCAAGTCTGTAATCCTGGCACTCAAGAAGCTGAGGCAGGAGGATTGACAGGAGCTGGAAGGCCAGCTTGGGCCACATGAACAAGTTTAAGGCCAGCCTGCACTATCTTGTGAGACCCTGTCTCAAAAAGCCAAAAACAAGTTCACCTAGCATGTGTAGGGCCCTGCGCTCAAACCCAACATCAGGGGAAAAAAAAAGAGGAAATCTGAAGACAATTTTAATCTTGAGTTTCATATAGACTATCTCTAATTAATTTCCTCTTTAACAGGAGAATGCTATTCATTTGCATTTATTAAATATTTAGATAGTCAAAGGTAGGCAAAGTGAAATGACTGTACTGAAAACACATTGCTAGCAGGGCGTGGTGGCACACACCTGTAATCCCAGCACTTGGGAGGCTGAGGCAGGAGGATGGTTAGGAGTTCAAGACCAGCCTGGGCTACAAAGTGAGCTCAAGGCCAGCGTGAACTGCACAGTGAGACCCTGGCTCAAAAAGACAAAAAAGAAAAAAAAGAAAACAAATTGCTTAAAAAAAATAAATAAATAAAAGAAAATAAAAGAAATTGCCAAATCTTTTTTTTGTCTTTTTGAGCCAGGGTCTCTCTGTGCAGTTCAGGATGGCCTTGAACTCACTTTGTAGCCCAGGCTGGTCTCAAACTCGCAACCATCCTCCTGCCTCAGCCTCCCCAGTGCTGGGTTTATAGGCATGTGCCATCATGCCCGGCACTGAATCTTAAAATACAGGTTCTAATTTTTCACTTGAACTAGACACAGAAATGGAATTTCAATATACGCTCTGATTTGTTACCTGATACATTTCTTTTCCGAAAAGGTAATCCCAAACTTGTCGTTGAACGTCCCAATTCACCAGGTAGCCCTAAAAAAAAACTTTGATAAGCTTAATTATCAAGAATAGTTGAACAATTCTTAAAAATCACATTAATATTAATTCTAAACACTCTAGTTCTTTATGTCTGATAGTTTATATCTAATGTTCTTTATGTCTGTATAACTTTTGGTCTAATGTTGTGTCAATTTCAAACTACTTACATTGTTATTTTTGTCCCTAAAGTTTAACCAAAATGTGAACGGCACGCTAATGCAAAGAAAAAGTATTTTCTATGTTTGTCTTAATATGTGCGATACCATCTATGTAGATGTAACATAAATAAAATTCAGTATTCACAATCAGAAGCTAAATAATGGCCATTTATTTTTACCATGGCAATTTTTTTTTTTCCTTCCAGTACCGGGAATCGAACTTATAACCTCGCGTTTGCCAGGCAGGCGCTGGGCCGCTGAGCTAAATCCCCAGCCCTACCATGGCAACTTAACGTCAATTTTTCGTTTTAAATACATCTTGGTTAAAATTTAGGTCAACTCTCCTCAGAAATCCAAAAATATTTTCATACATGTACAGAGTCTTGTATGTACAATTAAAAATTACATTTAAATTTAGATTTCTAACGCTAGAAATACATGCGTGGGTTACCTTTTGAAAAGGAAGGATGTAAAAGAGTCCTGAAGGATCTTTTATTTCATCTATCTGGTTAGCGGTAAATGTTTTAAGCCGTGCTGTTTTTGACCTGAACTGACAATTAGGAATAACCCTAGAACAAAGAAACACAATTATTCCCTAAATATTTACTTCTTCAAAATATCTTCACATAACCACCACCCTCAAGGCCAAAAGATAAGGTCATCCAAGCCAGTGTTTCTCATTCTGTCTTTAAATAATTTTTAAAAAAATTTTTTTAAAGATTCTAATATTTAACCCATTCTGTTCTGAACCTTTTATCTTTCTCAAATAATCTTCAAGAAATGCTAGCCGGGCGTGGTGGCACATGCCTGTAATTCCAGCACTTGAGAGGCTGAGGCAGGAGGATCACTGCAAGTTCCAGGCCAGACTGGGCTACAAAGTGAATTCAAGGCCAGCCTGAACTGCATAGTGAGACCGTCTCAAAAAGATAAAAACATAATAAATAAAAAGAAATTCTGGTTGGGCATGGTGGTGCATGCCTGTAATCCCAGCACTCTGGAAGCTGAGGCAGGAGGATCGGTGTGAGTTCAAGACCAGTCTAAGCTACAAAGTGAGCTCAAGGCCAGCCTGTACCGCATAGCAAGACTATGTCTCAAAAAGACTGAAAAAAAAAAAAAAAAAAAAATCCTTAGATGTGGGTATCAATTCTGCTGCTGCATACATGAGAGTCAGGTCTTGATAAAGGTCCTCGTCTTTCTGGTTTTAATGTGGCAATTCTTAATATCATTCAACGATGTGTTCACAGGTTCAGAACTCTGGCCTAAAATTAAATTTCCATAAAGCTAAAGATTTTCAATCAGTCCAAAGGGTGCCGGCTGTCCTGGCTTTCCTCAGGACATCCCGCCCTGCTTCCTCCAGGACATACTTTTATCTTGCTTTTTCCTATTTTACTCAGCTTAAAGCTCACTCCGCAGAGCCAGTTTCTCTTCATGCTTCCCTTTCACTTTTTCAGATGAACTTTGCCATTGCTTTTTTATAAAAGGTGCCAAAGGATACAGAAGTAGGAACTATTTTTAAATATTGTTGTAGCCCATCATGAACTTATACTCTGTAAAGACAGATCAGTGCTATTATTATACACAGGTACGTACATGTACACACACACGGTGATATTGGGAGAACACTGTACAAATGCCTTGTGTCTGTTTATTTCACTTACTACACACAAGCTCTTTCCCTACGTGTTTAAGTATTCTTTGAGAATATAATTTTAAGAAGCTGAATAGACAGTCTTCAGTGACATGTTCTTGTAATCTCAGGTACTCAGCAACTGTCACAGGAAGGTTCCCTAAACCTGCAGTTTAAGGTCAGCCGGGGCAACACAGTGAAACCCTGTTTCTTAAATTAAGAGAGGAGAGACCAAGTGGGTGGAGGAGATCCAGAGATATCAAGCAAGCTCCAGGTGCAGTAGAGCACTTGCTAAAGTGCAAAGCCCTGGGTTCAACCCCCAGCACCAAAAATGAAATAAAGAAGCTGCACTGCTATTAATCTCACAGTTGTATTATAATGCATTTAGTCAATTTCTTATTATTTGCTTGCTTTCTATTTTTTTGTTAAGGGTACACAAAGTCTATAAGTAATAAAGAACATGTACTTCTTTTCAAATACTTCTAAATGATTCCTTAAGTCATAACAAAATTGCTGTCAAAGGCTATCAACAAATGCAAGCATGGTGGTGCACACCTGTAATCCCAGCACTTGGGAGGCTGAGACAGGGGACTGCTGCAAGTTTGAGGCCAGCCTGGGCTACAAAATGAGTTCAAGGCCAAGCTGAACTGCATAGTGAAACCCTGTCTCAAAAAAAAAAAAAAAAAAAAGACTATTAACAATAATATACACTGTCAAAATGTCTTCCAGAAGACTAACCATTTATATTCCTATTCCAGTATGAGTTCCCTTTTTAAAAAAGAAATGGGGCAGGGCTAGGGATTAAGCTCAGCGGCAAAGCGCCTGCCTGGCAAGCACAAGGTTGTGAGTTCGATTCCTGATACCGGAAGAAAAACAAAACAAACAAACAAACAAGAAGACATAAAGAAATGAGGGGGCCCAGGATACAGCTCAGCGGCACGGCACCTGTCTAGCAAGTGCAAGATGCTGAGTTCGAATCCTGGTACCAAAAAAAAAAGGAAATGGCTGGAGCGTATGTAGCTCACTGATAAAGCACTCACCTAGCACATGTGAGGCCCAAAGTTTGATCCTGCGACCTGAAAAAACTACTTATTTAATAACATTCATAAATTGTATGAATAAATGCATAAATGCACCTTACAAATGCACTTTTTATTTTTATTTTTTTGGTCTTTTTGAGACAAGGTCCTACTATGCAGTTCAGGCTGGCCTCGAATTCTCAGCGATCCTCCTGGCTCAGCCTCCTGAGTGCTGGGATCACAGGCGTGCGCCACCACGCCCGGCTCTCAAGTGGTTTTTTTGGGGAGGCGGGGCGAATGCATTTAAGTACGGTATTTCTGTTTATCTGACTTTGTCAACCAGGCCAGCCATTAGGCTAAAGCCTTCAAGTCCCTATACCGTTAGACGCCAGCTTTTTGATTTTGTGGGTCATCCAACCCTTTGGAGATCCAGTGAAACTTATAATCGCGTCCCCAAGAAACACAGAACACCCCAAATGTTGCCCACTTCTGAAGGTTCATGAACCTTTTTTGTCTTTTCCTGAGGAATACATCATTAAAAGCCTACTCTCCTTGGCTGTTTTCTGTTACAAAACGAAAACACACACACCCCACTTCCGGAGCACACAGCCCAAACTAAACCAAAGTCAATTCCATTTCAAAGCTTCGCAACCACCAACCCGACTCCAACCAAAGCATCCTTCTGGCTCGGATTAGGGCCGGGTGAGCGCGTTTGTAGTTCCCCGATGTCCAGAAAGAAAACGTTGCATGCAGAACTTCTAGGTTCTTGTCCCTTGAAGAAATCGAACACTTACGAGACATTTTCATGACTGTAACCGATTTTAGCGTTGTAGGCTCCGTTATCCAGCACCAAAGTTGTCATTTTAGTGCAAACCACACCACACCAGTTGTGGCTTTCCCTTCCGGTCCCTTCTGCTCAAGCTTCTTCCGGTTCTCTATGGTTTGCTGGGCGGAGCGGTAGAGCACGCTTCTGGTTACCCTGGCAACGGAGGACGCCGGAAACCAGACAGTTGAGCGGCCCTTCTGGTCCGTGAGAATCCTGGGTTTTGTTTGTTTGTTTGTTTGTTTGTTGTTGTTGTTTGGTTTCTTTTAGCATCTCGTTTTTAATGCTAACTTGTCTAGGTGATGGCGAGATTCATCAAGAGGAGAAACAGCCAAGTGATTTTTCGTCCATTTGTAATTTCTTGACTCCTCAGATTATCTCGCGCCCTCGCGTTTCTTCTGACACCTGTGCCGATTGGCTGTATATCTTCGAATAGCATTGTCCATATGGTGATACAAAATGCAAAACCATTCGCAGCGTGGAATTGGGTGTGACGTCTTTAGCCTCATTCCCTGGCTATTGTAGGACCCAGCCATCATGAATTATGTATGTATTGTTTTGTCAGCGTCTTTGCTTTTAAACTCATATTTACGCTTCCTTCTTCCCCTGCCACTTGTTTTTCAGGGATTAGCTTTCGTGTCTTACATCAGAAGAGCTTGTTGACATCTCACCTGCTCTCCCTCTCCATTTGGATTCCTGGAATTAGGTGCTCGCCTACGTTTTCCTTTTATAGCCCGTGCTTCGTGATAATTAAGAGAATGAATTTGGGGTTGGAATCCAGACTCTAACACAAAATGACTGTGTAACCTTGGGCGATTAAGATATAAAAATTAATACGTAACATTTACTGATGTAAGTTGTTCCAGTAACTTTACATATATTAACTAAATTAATCTTTACATCTGTATGACATACATGGTTTAAAATGGAGCCTCTAAATTTAAACTGCTGAGTGAAATCCTGGCTCTGCCATTAGATTGGCAGAGCCATTGGAAAAGCTTGTTAAGTACTCTATGACTTGGGCCTCGTCTGTAAAATAGAATACTATTAGTCACATTCGCTTACTGAACTTTTTAAAAATTTTTATTATTTTAAAATTGTTTTATGAAGAATAAATAATAAAAGTCAAGCACCAGGCAGGAGTTATTATCATCATCCTGTTTTATCATCTAATCATCCTCTTTTAACTGCCTAGATGGGAAAAACTCCTTTAAATCAGGCACTTTAGTCTATTGGTGTCTGTATTTCTTTGTATCAGAACATCCACTGTATGTCTCAAGTTAACTGTTCACATTTAGTCATTCTGTTTTCTCCAATTTAATATTAAAATGATGAAATACCTTGCTCTAAATAATATAAATTGTATATTTAATGTTCCTTTGGCTTTCCCTATCACTTGCATGCACTGTGGTTAAGAATGTTCTTGTTCGTGGCTTTAGCTATCATTGAATACAGCACATTTAAGTCACTAAGTCGCCCAGGCTGGGTTCGAACTGGCGATAATTCTGCCTTCGCATCCCGGAGTGTTGGAATTACAGGCATGTGCAACCATGGCTGGCCCAGGATTTTCACTCTTAACTGTGACTTTACAAAGTTTCCACCTAGAAATCCTGAGGATGCCTGAAAGGTCACAAATTCAGCCTTCTATACTATCTCCAAAACTGTTCGTTTCATTTATAGTATTTATCCCAATTATTGGTGTTCCCCAATAGCCACCTAATGCTCCAAGCTAGAAACCTTAATGACCTTCACCACCTATCTTTGACTAAATCTCTGGAATCTGTCGTTGACTCTCCTTCATCTCTAATGATGCTGCCTTATCTCTTACCTGGAATAACGCTGTCACCTTCTCAATGCCTGGCTGCCTCATTCTCTTTTTCATTCTCTGTATTAAAGCATAATTAAGGGCCAGGGATATAACCCAGCGGCACAAGCACCTGCCCGGCAAGCCCAAGGTCCTGAGTTCGATTCCTAGTACCAAAATAAATGAATAAACTAATAAAAATAAAGCATAATTAGCAGTAACATCGGAATCCAAAATATGACTATCCTGCCCACCCATCATAGAAGTCTTCATGGCTTGTTATTGCCGATTGAATAATGTCACACATTACATTTACAATCTGATCTCTCTCTAACCCATGTTACAGAGGCATGCTGATAAATGTTTAACAACTGGATCTCTAGAGGAAAATAAACCCTGATTTGTCATGTTTGTCAATTGCTACGGTGTGAATATTGTGTTGTGGCTGATTCGAAACTACACTGAAGATACCAAACATAACCCAGAGTTAGGAGGAGATGCAGTTGGGGGCAGGGATATAGCTCAGTGGCACAAGCCCCTGCCTGGCAAGCGCAAGGTCCTGAGTTCAATTCCTGGTACCAAAAACAAACAAACACAAAGAGTTAGTTGAACTAGCTCCAGCACAAACTGTTCAATAAAAATCTCTGAACTTCTTCACCCTCGTACCCTGTACTTTCCCCCTGCAGGCTTTAGCATGAATAATCTCAAACACGTAAGTACTACTTTCCAAATACATGCATATTTTGGCAGTGTATAATTGTAAAAGCATTAAAAACATAACTCTCATAAATAATGAACATTTGGAATAGATTAAGTCATATTCATGAGTGAACTTGCTTTATATGTTATCTTGTTGGTCCAGCATAATGTGAGTTAATCTTCAGTAATTGTTCATTATATATTTGTATGGCAGTCATGCTGTTGATTTTTAAAAAAATTATACTTTGCTAATTAGCTGGAAATCAAAAAACATGTAAATTAACCTAAAAGCGCTACTGAATTTATGCTGGTTTTGTGGTATTATGCATTCTCTCAATTCAGGGAGAGTAACAGTGAAGTTATTGTTATTTGTTTTCACAATAAAAAGATACAATTATTAACTTACGAAGTTCTTTGATGTTTATTATTTTGCAAAGGAATCCATATCTTGTTCGAACCACAGTAGGCCACCTGTCATCTATAGAAGCTGTTATGGGCTGTGTCTAGATGTCCCCCTAAAGCCTCATATGGTCATAGGGCTTTTATGGAGGTGGCTGAATCTAGAGTGTGTGATTGATTGGTGGTGCAATGCTAGAATCGAGGGTGCTGGGATTTAAGGTGGGTGATTTCTGGATCAGTCCACCTATTGGACTGGCACCGCCCTAGTCCTGGTAGCCTGGATACAATATAAAGGAGAGAAAGAGGTTTGTCTCCCTCATCCCTTGCTTGCTTTTGCTGTCTTCCACCGCCATGAACTATTGCCCCTCTGCTATCCCACCTGCCTTGGGGCCAGCCAATTACAGACTGAAACCTCTATAAACTGTGAGCTGAATAAAACTTTTCCCCTTTAATTTTGGGTGTCGGGCATTTTGTGTCAGTAACTAAGACAGACGCTTTCATACTTCTTTCTCATCATTGTGTTCCACCTGTCTAGAACATTCTTTTCAGGCCTGGGACATAGCTGGAGTAGAATGCTTGCCTAGAATGCCAGAGGTCCCAGGTTTAATCTCTAGAAACATACCAATAAAATATCTTTTTCTGCCTGAATGAATTACTAATAATAGCTAACATTCTATTGTGCGTGGTACTCTTCTTAGTATTTTAACTTTGTTACCTTAATCTCAAAACACCTTCATGAAAGTATATAGCACCTCTAGTCTTAGGTTGGATATCTTTTCTATGATCACGTAACTAAAAAATGTGTAGAACTACATTTAAAATCCAATTCTTTTTCTTTCTTTTTTTTTTTTTTTTTTTTTTTTTTTGTCTTTTTGAGACAAGGTCTTGCTAGGTAGTTCAGGCTGGCCTTGAGCTCACTTTGTAGCCCAGGCTGGTTTCACCCTCACAACAATCCTCCTGCCTCAGCCTCTCGAGTGCTGGGATTATAGGTGTGCGCCACCACGCCCAGCCCTAAAATCCAATTCTTTAATTTCAGGATCAGTTATTTTTAACAACTGAAAGTTGTTTATTCTTATCTTTGAAATAATACCTCCACTGTGAATGTGATGTGTTTTTTTTTGTGAATGTGTTTCTGAATGAATCACTCTACTCCATACTGTATTCTTGCAATACTTTGCTTCTGTTTTAGATAGTGATAGTAAATAGTAATATCTAGCAGATAATGAAGTGATATGCTGTGCATTTTGTTAAATAGTTTATATGGATAGTCTTGTTTGTCTTTAAAAAAATTTCCATGATTTAAACACTATTAGTATTACCTCCGACACGAGATAAAGATTTAAAAATGTGCCCATGTTTACACTGCCACAAAATGGACCCACTAGGGCCAAATGACAGAACCTAGGCTCTGGATCTACGCTAGGCTGTTAACTCCTAGATGGGAGGAACAGGTTTTGGGGGGGGGGGCTTTGGTTTGTATAGAAGATCCTAGATACTTGAACAGTGCCTGGTTTATGCCACATGGTAAGTGTGGTTTTTTTTTTTTCTTTTTTTGGTATGGGGAATCAAACTTGGGACTTTGCACTTGCCAGGCAGGCACTGTGCCACAGAACTATATCCCTGGCCCTTTTCTTTCTTTTTTTTTTTTTAGGAAGGGTCTTGATAATGTAGTTGAAGCTGGCCTTCAACTCACTATGTAGCCCAGGCTGGCCTTGAACTCGCAGCAATCCTCCTGCCTCAGCCTCCCGACGCTGGAATTACAATGGTGGGCCACCACGCCTGGCTACATGATAAATTTTAAATGAGTGAATAATCAAACCATACATCTATACTTTCTATTCTCATAGATTTTTTAAAGATAAGATTTTGGCACAGTATTGTGAGAAAACAATTAATACAAGGGTTGTATAAAAGTCGAGTCGTTTTACATGGAAAAATGCATATTGGATTAAATCATTGGGACTGTACAACATCAGTTATAACTCACAATTTCAAGACCCTCTTAAAATTACTCATATAGTGAGAAACTTATGTAAGTAAGTCATGTAAAAATGTCAATTATTTCTCCAGAAAATACCCAACCAGATGAAATAATCAAACTCAGGACTTCGCGCTTGCCACGCAGGTGCTGTGCCACTGAGCTATATTCCAGTAAACTCACTCTTAAATTAGATCTTTGCAGTAAAAATATGTAGGTTCACTTTTACATATGGATGCTGTGCTCACATAATTCTTCATATTCTTGTAAGCAGTAGTATGGAAATTTAATATTGTCTTTTAATCAAATTGGGTGATGAATTATTGTTTACTTACTTTGCACCAGGTTAGATCCATAGGTGAGTTGAATTGTATTTCTCATATGCCATAGGCTCAGTATTTTGTGTGTGTGTGTGTGTGTGTGTGTGTGTGTTTTTCTTTTCAAGACAGGGTCTCGCTATGCAGTTCAGGCTGGACTTGAGCTCACTTTGTAGCCCAGGCTGACCTCGAAATCACAATGATCCTCCTGCCTCAGCCTCCCAAGTGCTGGGATTACAGGCATGTGCCACCATGCTCGGGCTTTTGGTGTTAATGTTTTTTGTTTTTAGTAATTGTGTGGTAACCTGGCTTCAAAACCAAATTTTTGTTAGCTGTCATCTTCCCACTAGCTTGTACTTAAAAGTTTGCTGCATATAGTCAATTTTCCCATTGTTGTAACAAAAGTTTTTAATTGGAGTTTATACTTTACAATTAAAATGTATATTTTTAAAAATGATGCATATATGTTTACATAGAGTTGAACTGTTTTCAAAAAACTTGTAGACTAGCAAATACCATGTTTTCTGTATTCTGAGAAGATACCAGTACGTATCCCAACATCTATACAGATTGAAGTGAAGCCTCGGATTGTGAGTAACTTGTTCTGTGAGTATTCTGCAAGACAAGCAAACACTTCTAATAACTTTTAACGTTTTTTGATTCTCTTTTTAATTGGAAATGTGACCAGGGGCATCAGCATTGCTAAACCGCATGGTTAACACTGAGTTTTTTGGTTTTGGCACCAGGAATTGAATTCAGGACCTTGCGCTTGCCAGGCAGGCGCTGTGCCGCTGAGCTACATCCCTGGCCCTATTTTTTTTTTATTTTAAAGAGAAAAAAAAAAAATTGAAAAGATAATAGGAGGGTAACAATGGTTAATAGATTGCATATTGTTATCTTTAAATTACTCAGAGTACAAGATATCGGCATTTAATTGTCCAAACAATATTAGCATAAAGCTTTCTTTTCAATGAATAAATTTTAACTTGATTTAAAAAAAGAAAAAGACGAGGTTTTGGTATGTTGTCCAAGTTGGTCCCGAACGCGGTCTCAATCAGTCCTCCTGAGTAGCTGGTACTATCGGCACTGAATCACTAGACCTAGCTCTTCAGCTTTTCCACTCTTCAAAAAGGCACCTGCAAAAAGTGTCAGGTTGCTGGGTTATGTATAACCCCACACACAACTCTCACCTTCCTGGTACCTCCCTCGGGGAGCAGTGTAATTTCCTTTATTAAGACATCTCTTTGTAGCAATTCTCATCTCTGAAAAACAAGCTGGTTTAGGGTTGGATGGGGTGGAGGTGCAGGATTGTCAATTTTTCTCTTTTCGACAATTTCCTTTTTGCAGAACTTTCAGGGAAAATTTATATACTTATTTTTTAGATACTACACCCAGGCAAATGGGATATGATTCACCTATTTTATAAACGTTTAAAGTGAGGATAAATGTAACGAAATTTCTTGGAGGTTAACAGCTGGGAGATACTAGGGCGACGGCTTGAATTTGTGCCTTGTAATTTGTAGGTCTTAGACTCTATTAACACACCACGTCGGCTTTTACTTCCCTTAGGATTGGAATAATTAGGGGGAGACATTAAATTATAGCATTTAGCTGAGGGGTAGAAGACCTCAGTAAATGAGAAAAAACCCAGGGAGGCATATGAAGAAAGCTGAGTGGGTTCAACAGAGCAAGACAGCCGAGCAATTTATGGGACGGATAATTAAGGTCTGAGGAAATGAAAAAGAGAAGTAGGAGGGAAGGGAAAGTAGAAGCGGAAAGTGAGCCAGGGAGGCAGAAATAAAGCCACAGCGCAGAGAGGGAAGAGTAAAGCGCGAGCAGGCTCTGGCTTTGGGAGCCAAAGGACCTTTCCGCGGCGCGCTCTCCCCGCGTCCCCAGCGAGGGGGCGTGGCTGGAAACCACCTGTGTCCGCCCCAAATCCGAGCTGGCTCCACCCCTACCCCGCCCAGTTCCCGTTGGCCCCGCCTCGCGCGGGAACCGAGCCCGCTCTGGCCCCGCCCCGTTCACGTTGGCCCCGCCCCGCCCTCCCCCGGTCTCTTAGGTGATGCTGCAGCCAAGATGGCGCTGGCGGCGGCCGTGGCGGCCTGAACGTCATGCTCCGGCCTCTCCACCGGGTCAGTGGCGGCGGCGGCGGCGGCGGCTGGGGCCTCAGCCAGGGCCTCGAGTCTCTCGCGGGCGTGAGCGCCCAGGCGCCCCTCCTCCGGCCGGGTGAGTCCGGTCAGGGTCAGAGTGCAGACGGCCGGTAAGAGAAGAGGCTGTGCGGAGCAGTGAGAGCGCGCGACTCTTCGCGCCCCGGCACCATGGCCGGGATCATCAAGAAGCAGATCCTGAAGCACCTCTCCAGGTCAGTGAGCGCCTGGCGCGGGGGGCCCCGCCGCCTCCGCCCCTCCTCCGCGTGGCGCGACCTTCGGCTGCGGCGCTCGGCGGGGG